GTGCGGTTAGTGGACAGCGTCCGCGAGAACGGCGGCGAAGTGAGACTCTTCTCCAGTTTACACGTTTCGGGCGAACGTAAGGCCATTGAAAACCGTCTCAATTGTCACTCAATTACCACTTAATGATTAATTTGTTTATTTGTTTGGCCCCAGAATTGGATCAATTGACAGGAGTGGCCGCTATTCTACGCTTTCCGATGCAGGACTTGGAAGACGAGCCCTACGAAGACGATGACAGTTCCAGTGATTGACCACTGATTCAGATGAGAGATTACACGCCTCGACAGTCCAAACGATTAAATTAATTAAACAGTTATTTTCTAATTATTAAATAAAATTAACTTATTTTCCGAGAATTAAATTAATTAACACTAATTAAGACAATATTTATTCCAAAAAAATATATACAATAAAAACCAAATATAATTTCAAAAACAGACAAACAATTAAAACCTTTATTAAATATCGCCATCGAAGTCGTCGTCGTCGACGTCTGAGAACAAGTGTATGGAATCGCTGTCCGAAGTATCGAACGAAGAGGACGAGCCGTCCGTATAGTCATCCAAATCGATCACTTCTTCGTCTTTGTTCACCACAAGTGACACATTTTCGGGTAATTTTGTTGTTATTTGCGAAACACTATTGAGTCTAATATTGCAAAAAATGAGTTCAATTTGTCGGCGACTTCGGGCCGCCGACACTTCCAGACACCCGTTGATCGCCTCTTCGTCTATCTGTTGGCTGTTCTCCACTTTGAGGCGCCGTAAGCTCTTTGTGGCCTTCAGTAGATCCACGACCACCTCATTAGTTAGATAGTTATGTTTACTACTGTACGGCGGATCCGCCACTTGTAGACTACTGTCGCCCTGAATGGTGAGCGTCGGGACGTCCAACAGACCAATCAGACCATAGCTCTCGGTCTTCAGTTGGAAGAGTCCGGCGCTGATCGCGAACTCCACTAAATGGGGGCAAAACCTCTTGAGTTCGGCGAGTAATGGGTCGATGTTTGGCTTCTGTGAG